ATGATTGAAACATAGACATAAAGACTTGTATAACAAAGATTTATATAACAAAAAAACAAAAAAACAAAACTTGATTAGAGACTTAAAAAATAATGCAAAAATTCCAGGTTCAAACAAACTAACAAAACTCCACAAATTGTCATCTATTTTGTCACAAGACTGAAAAATGTAGTTAACCTAGTACTGTCAGTACTTTAAGTTGGGTAATAGAGCAGAACGGAACGGCTCTGACAGCTAGTGAGCAGTCTCTCTAACATCTCATCAGTGATGCATAAGATGCGCCCACCTTCAGACCCTGCTTGATTTGAAGTATCTATAAGCAATATTTTGTTGATGACAGACTAGTCCTATGAGGAGCTTCCCCACTATGATTCACTGAGCATCAGGGTGCTCCAACAAGGATCATTATCGTTCATTTTCATCATTCTGTGACACAGCAGGTCATTTTCGGCGGGCCTCTTCAGAGCGGAGCATTAGTTAAACAAGCACAATGGCGGTGCTTCATCTGTACGTCCCTCTCGTTATCAGACTACTGGATATGAATGTTATTTTAATTCCTGCATTGGTTAAAATTCCCTCTCCCTACCAGCTGTGACCACCGACAGCTGCGGTAATATTCAGAGCTTCTTGATGTCACACAGCCAGCAGGTTTTCACCATGACACCTCATTTAGACGATCTGCATGTCGTCTGGACCACTTGGCCTCTTTTTGATTCATTAGCAAGCAGATCAAGCTTTTAAAGCTCTAGCTTTCGGTATCTGATTTTAAGGGGCACCATTAACAAAAGAGCATCTATGCAGTCACAGTGAATAATGCATTAAACTTTCTGTTATTGCAGAATGCCAATTAGACCTACTTTGAACTCCGCTTGGCCAAGAAAAAATATCTTTAAAATATTGGAACAAACTTAATGTACAGTTCTGTTCACGGTTCTTCAATGACTCCTCCACTAATTTGGACATGACATCAAACTTAAGTGTATGCACCTTCCAGAATTTAACTGATAAAGTATTTTACATTTCAGCTCAATTGCTGAATTTGAATTTAATATGAATTGGTTGCAATAAATGTCATTTCATTTTAAAGATGCCTAATAGTATTTTTTTTGCTGTTGTTGTTGTTTAGTATTGTTGTTTGGCTATTAAGTTACACCTTATTATTGCTAAGGGATGCTTCTTTAAAACAACTACAGAACAATTCCCATCCCACTGACATGGCCTGTTGTTTTTCAGCAAGCAATAGGTGTCACAGCACCTCTCACGCTACATAACCACTGATGAGCAGTATATCATGAGCTGTGGCCATAATTGGCCACAGAAGTGCCCCAAAAGCACCCGGTCCATTAAAGGACCCATTTAAATACAACAAGATCATTACAGCTCATCAGGTGCAAAAGATCACCTTCAAGCGATAGCTCAGGATGAAAGCCGGGGGGCGATATCATGTAATCCCGTTCTGAGACAGGCTATTAATTAACAAGTGCTCACCAAAGGGACCTGCCTCCACTTCCTCTCATTGCGTCTCCTTACTGGAGATCGATGTGACTCCCTGCCGATACGTCTCGCTGACGGCTTTTGTTTTCCATAGCAAGTACGCAGCGTCTGGATTCGCTGCCAAGCACAAGAGCGTGTGCAGGTGACATTGACAAGGAGCCTGGCGACGCGTCCTTTTGTGTGAAGACTCCGGCAGACTGAGCCAGAATCACACGCCTCATGTCTGTTAATATTTTATTTATTACTTTCACATTGAGGGAAGACAACGCTCACGTTTGTTTCTGTTGTATTTCTTTATTTATTTCCCCTTGGCGTGACCCACTGAAGCTTGGTCCCAGCGCTCACAGATATCTTCCATTGTGCGCTCGAGGCAGGAGCTCAATACTAATCAAAAGTTAGTGGTAAAAAGAGTAATTTGAATCTGGAAGTGAGTGGTGATTTTTGTGTATCGCCAGCGAATGGTTTTAAGTGACAGCTGAGTATCGGCAAGACTGATTCTTTTCCTTTGTTTTTATTTTCTTTCTTGTACCTCAGCAGCTTTAGGGTTTGATAAATCGAAGGAGACCATAAACTACTGAATATTTCAATACTTCAGCAAATCCTGTTGAACAACAAAACATTTTAACTTCAATTGCACCACAACATAGTGTCCTGATAAAATGATAAAATGTACATCGCACTGTTTGCTTGTTATATCCCAACTGGAGGACAAACTGAGAGTTACAGAAAACAAATGAAACTTTTTTTTGTTTGTTTTAATGCATTTCACGCAGATAATAATGTTGCTGATGATGATGTTGCATAGAAATGATTGCTACTTTTCAGTCTTTAAGTTAAAGACAAAACAAATTTCTCCGGCTACAAACTTTACATTCAAAAGGGAAAAAAGGATGAACACTCACTTTGTCTTTAGATACCACAAAAAATACATTTAAATTTCGTAACCTTTTTTTTTTTCAAAATTCATAACATCAGACTTCCCTCACCCTAGCAACTGCCTAGAACACCCTAGCAACCACCTAGCAACTACTTAAAACACTATAGCAACGATCAATGACATCCTAGCGACCACCTACAATGCCCTAGCAATCATCCAGAACACCCTAGCAACCACCTAGCAACCACAACAAGGTCTGGGAACCGTGGCTGCTTTGAATGGCAAGGACTGCCCAAGAGGCCATATGATTGACAAATAAAGAAACCTCTCGTTTTGTGCCGTGTCATGTTTAGGGGCGTGGAAATGTCCCCACAATAACAGACCGTGTGTAAAGCTCTTGGACGTATTTTAAAGATTCTATGCTGCAAACTTTAAATATTTCACATACTCTTGAAAATCCAACATTTAGTTGATCCTGATAAGCGCTCATTATCACAGTTGTAAACATGACGGCTTTCTTCTAACATGAGGGGGTTTGGCGTCACGGAATATTTGTTTCCGGAAATCCTGTATAATTCAACCAATCCAATGACAACTTCAAAACTCCTGAAGTGTTTCCAATTTTGTGTGCCGAATGCATCAGACGTTCAGCTAACAGTCCGTGGGCGTGACGTCGGAGGCTGAGACTATGAACACCCCAGCACCATGACAGCAAGTTTTGCACAGGCAAGCAACATGATTTCATCACAAAATGTAAATCATACATTCTCTGAAAACAAAATGATATGCTTTGCAATCTTGCTTCTAAACATAAAAGTAAATGTATCTTGTTTTAATGACATTTACTGCAATTACACTATTTACTAGCAAAGTAGCTAGGTAGAAATAAAGGCACTGATTAAAAAAGGGTTTTATTGCAGAATAACACACAAGCAGTATGTCACAAAACAAATGAATGTAAGTGAGCATGAAGATGCCGATGTCTCCCTCACTAACTCTTGTCACGTAAGCAGTTGTCATTTTGCCTCCATATCTAGATCCAAACACAAAGTGTGACTGCTGACTGCGGAGCCCCCATCTGCGTGACTTATTGACAGTCGTAACAGGTGGCGCATTGGTGGCTGAGGCGTGAAGTGGTTTTGGACAGAGAACCGTACAGTGGATGAGAGGGAGAGACGGTGATAAATGAGTGCATCGTCACTGCGTTTTATGAATTATGAGAGAAGTATGAGGCGACTCTGACACACTACGGCAGATTGACAGGAGGAAAAGGAAACACCGGCGTGATGCGATGGCACATTTAGATGACCCAGAACGCCCCATCCAGACAAAAAGAGTGGGGCAATTAATCAGACGAGCATACGGGAGATAGAGGAGGCTTGGAGAGAGAAGCACGCAGCCCTTGAGGTTGATTTAGTGGGGCCACGGGTCAGAGATCCAATCCCCTCCGGAAGATGAAGTAATTACCAGATTGGCCACTTTGATTTGTTCCACTTTTTTACAACCACATTATTCGTGATTGCATAATTCATTTGGAGGAAAGAGAAATGTCTGGAAAAATGTTTCTATACGCTTGACCTTAATTCCACCTCTTAATTATACTCTGATATCAAGCATCAAGGAAAGTCTGATCTAATTTCACCTTTCATTCAAATAGCGATGTGGTATTTCCTACTTGTTATCTCTGACTTATGATGGTCAAACTATAATGTACAAAGGAACAAAGTGACTCGCATTTGATTAGCAGGTCTACAATTAATAAAAGGACATTGTTTACTGTGTTAAATGTATATTTCACCTGAAAATGAAAATTTGCTGATGATTTACTCACCCTCAGCTCAGGCTATCCATGATGTTTGTTTCTTTTGGAGAAATTTAGCATTACATCACTTGCTCACTACTGGATCCTCTGCAGTGAATGGGTGCTGTCAGAATGAGAGTCCAAACAGCTGATAAAAGCATCACAATAATGCACAAGTAATCCACACGTCTCCAGTCCATTCAATAACGTCTTGTGAAGCCAAAAGCTGTGTTTGTAAAAAGCAAATACATAATTTACATGTTTTTTACCATCAAACCATTTTTTATATCTGAAATGGAAATGATTATGGAAATGTCCATAATCAATAATTAGGCTTCATCCAGTGGAAAAAAAGATATCCCCTATTGTCCTCTCACATCAAAATCCAAAGAAATATTTGTTTAGAACTGTTTTTGCTTGTAAACAGTACTTGATCTGTGCATATTTCTCTCCTGATTCAGACAACTTTGTCACAGGAGAAAGCAATATTAGGACTCATATTTTAGCTGGAAATAATGGTTTGAAGTTAAAATTTGTTTCTCACAAACACAGCTTTTGGCTTCGCAAGATGTTAATTGATGGACTGGAGTTGTGTGGATTACTTGTGGATTATTGTGATGCTTTTATCAGCTGTTTGGACTCTCATTCTGACGGCACCCATTCACTGCAGAGGATCCATCTGTGAGCAAATGATGTACATAATGCTAAATTTCTCCAAAGCTGTTCCCATGAAGAAAGAGGTGTTCCCAGGAAGTGTTCTATCTCACTTTTTTAAAGTTGGCTACTATAAACCTATCAGACATCCATCCATTTGAGATTGATACTCACATATAGTGAATATTCTTCTCCTCTCGGCCGCTCCGTTCCCTGATCCCCAGCATCCATCCTCGTCATCACACTCTCCACTGTATCCGTCTCCACTTCCTGTCTCGATTTGGTCCAGGGTGCCAAGCTTTGGTATTGACTTGCCCTGCAACAGCTGAAACATATAAAACATGTTTGAATTTCAGAATTTAGTATTTCAGTATTTATTTTGATTGATTTTAATCAGGTTTCAAACCACATATGAAAGTGGTTTGGATCGGGTTTGTAATCTGATTTTCATGAGTTTCTTTTGCTGTTCAGACCACAAGTAACTAAAGATATTTGAATTAGATACACCAAAAATGTTTAGCTACTTATCTCAACCAGTGGCGGCTCGTCAGGGGAGGCAGGGAAGGCACAGCCTCCCTATAATTTTAAGGTGAAAATGGGAGGAGGACGATTTAATGTTAATAAAATTCACAATTCATTTCAGTTCACCCACGAGCCGCCACTGATCTCAACAAGCCTGTAATAAATTGGAATGCATGATACAATGGTACTGGACTAGTTACTGGCTGACATTGGAGGCTTTATTATTATTATTATTATTATTATTTATCGATGTCTGATTTTTAATTGTGCATGTTCATTTCCCCTATTGCTACATTTTGATTAAATTTCCTGTCTTTTAAAAACACTTATACCAAAATATGACAATGAAACCTCGGGATGGCTGCCATATTTAATTTGACACAAAATAAAAACATGTTTATGAGGGACATACATATGGTATAATGTAGTGTAAAATACAGCGAATATGTACAAAAAAGCTTTGGTATGTAAAAATCGGACATGAACCTATTGGAAAAATTGCACACTGATCCTTCAAAGCCTGGTTTTCATTGACATACAATCAAATAGGATGAGAGATCCATTCTGTCCATTTTTAGTCCAGACACTTGGAGTGTTTAACCTTTAATTATCAAGTTGTATTTTTGAAAATACAAAAATATAAACACACAATGCATGCATTTCTACTGATATTATTCAAACAGGCATGCATTTCCAGATTGCATAAAGCTTTTAATGGAAACATTTGCTAATTTTGCTAATTGCAATTTTTTCGTAGCATCAATTGTGGTTATATTCGACATTCAAACAATAACGACAGCAACAGGACTCCATCCCCTGAACATGATATCCTTCAATTACCCTTAAAACTAACTTTTGCACAGCTAGGACGGGCTAGCATACATTACAAACTCTGAGTGCACTTGAGCCATATCCACTTAAGGTACAGGAACATTTAATTATCTAACTGAAATGCAAGACAGCCTCTCAGATATTGAAAGCGCTTTGTATTTATCAGGTAGAGCGCACTGGGCCGTTGCAATTGTCTGTGGTAATTAGCAGCTGTAATGGTTCAATATCTGCCGATTAAGTGGCTGAACTAATGGATTAGCAGAGCCATGATGGATGAGTGACTGCGACTCACACTCTTAGTCACCTCGAATTGACATGAAAATTAAAAATAAATAAAAAGTAAAAAATTCAACCAATGGCGAATGGTTGACCACGATTCAGAAAGGCATACTTAGAATGCAGGATTTTCTTTTTTTTTTTCTGTATGCATGACCAACTACATTTGCCAACGTGCAGTATACAATCATAGCACATTGTTCCGAATACTTTATCCCACAATGCAATGCATTACATTTCATAATTCCATATTTTACAAAAACTTGCTTAAAATGCAACATAACTGTATTTATTTCCAAAATTATATTTAGTTAGTTATTCAGAAGTGATACTAATCACAATTGTCTCTTTCTTGACCCATTATTTAAACAGACTGCCAAAAATGACAACATTTTTAAATACAATTAAAATTGCAAAAGGCATGACATCTGGACGCCACTCGCTGAATTAAACATGCAACATACTGGGATCATGTTACAGTAATTTATTTTTGATTGACTATATTCAGATTTCAAACCACATATGAAAGTGGTTTGGATCGGGTTTGTAAAAAATCTGATTTCATGCATTTCCTTTGCTGTTCAGACCACAAAGTACTAAACAGATTTAAGTTAGATACACCATAAAATCCACCATTGGATTTTTGCTACCTGTCGCAACAAAACCTTAAATAAATGCATTAATGTATGATAAAAAATTACCATATCAGTGATATATTTAACATATTGTATGCACATATACTACTGATCGAAACATTTATCCTTGCATACTGCATAATATTAAAAAAACAAAAACAAAACAACAACACAACAACCTCAGTCTATTCCCATTGTATGGTATATGTCCTTTACTATAAAAAGTGTTCTGATTGTTTCTCCCGAGGCACGCAGGCAGAAAAAGAAATAATACAAAAACAGAAGCATGCTTTAAATGCATAAATTACTTTCAGTCAGGCCTGTAGCAAATATATGTTACCCTTCTGTAATTTTCTTTCCGACCATAACCAGAAAGCCTGCAGCACAGAAGGCCTTTATCTCACTGAGGTAAAAATGTTCTGTCTCTTATCTGTAGAATGACCACGTTCTCCTCTAACGGTGAGGTGCATTGTTCCTCGAGGAATCCTCAATGTTCTTCTACAGTTTGACTGACTGCCTGAGGTTAGTTGGCTACCTGCAGTGGTTGAAACTTCACAATCCAGCGTTCATGCAACTTTTCAAACACACAACACGTTTGAAATGTCAAAAAAAAAAATAATAATAATGTGGAAAATGACCAGGCATAGTAGAATAATCATCTTAATCTGAATGCATCTATTTACCTGCCAGGCAAGCCGCTCTAGTTCATTATTGCTTCTAACCAGAAGCATAGAAATAATCTGAAATGTGAGCATAATGTAGCACTTATCAGCTTGGCTTATGAATATAAATTGTGTAATCTAAGGTGCACCCAGTAGTGCTAACTGATCTAATGAAAGACCAAAGCAAAAAGTAGCTACCAGTAGTAAGATTGCCACTTCCAGCTTGCAACATGCTTGAAAACCTCTAAAATCTCATTTTCTCATTATGGTTCACTGCAGAGCAAGACCCCGTCTCAGCAGGTATGACAAGCATGTGGTAACTGAGTTTATTTAAACACAGTAATCATCTCCATTAATATCAGGAATGAAACTGATTCTAATGTTTATTAGTAACCAAAACATCGCTGCCACTGACGTTCATGCTAGTATGAAGCTCTTCCATTCCATTCGTCTTTGAGATGACTTTATAAGTTTCTGAAGAGCTTGTTAAAAAGATTAGGAATGATTTGAAGACCTGAAAGTGAAAATTATCTCTCTGGAGAAGCACTGTTTAAAGACTGCCATCTTGTGTGAAGATTTTTTGAATCCCAGCTACATTTCTAAGCGGTCTGGTTGTCTTCCAGGAAATAGCTTTGCTTTTGGCATTGTAACCTTTATGTCACTGAAATATCAACGCCAACATCAAAAAGAGGACAAGATCCAAGTTCAGCCATGAACCTTTTATCAGCACATACACGACAAACTGCTCTAATACATAATAAGTTATTAAAACACACACACACACATTCTGCCATTATTTTTAAGTGATTTTTTCAATTCTGAATTTTATGGTAATTCTTGAATTTTTGGCTACAATCTTCCTTTATTATCTTAAGAGAAAAATGCTGATAAAATACTTATGACTTATGTCGTCGTGCCCAGAGAACCATAAAAAGTGTATTGCCCAAACCAGAAGAAAATGAATGGGAGAGAAATTAAAGGAATAGTTCGCCCCAAAATTTAAATCATTATGATTTTTCTGTTTCCGGGAATCACAAACAGAAAGTTTGGCAGGATGTCTAAGCTGCTTTATCTATACAATGAATGTGAATGGGAAAGTGGGCTGTCAAGCTTCAAAACTACATAAAAGAAACATAAAAGCCGTTTAAGACACAGAAGTTTACAATCTGTGTGCTATATAGCAGTATATGCTATATACAGTAGTGTGTTGCTACAATTAGTGTATTTTTTGTAGCGAATCAGCTCATGGATGGGGAAATATGAATAATTAATCAGGTCGTAAATGGATCTGGTCTAGCAGAGGTGTCGTGGTTGCCATGGGTACCAGGGGGGTCCTGGTGTCGTTGCAGACATCCTGGCATCCAGTTTATTGGGTGAGGGGACTGTGACGATTTGTTAATCTAATGAATAACTGATTTGTTAAATCAAATGAAAAATTGTGTGTTTGATTGGTCCAGACGCTACATTTTTCTGCAGGTTACAAAGTTAATGAAAGGTGGTGAAAAGAGACTGTCCTTAAGAGTGAATCGTTGATTCATTGACTGAACTGATTAATTCAAAAGACTGATTCATTCAAGATTCAAACAAAATACATTTTTATGATTAAGTCATTGAATCATTCCCTCAACTGATATGTTCAAAACAGTGATAATTTCAGGAATGAAACATGTGACTGTCTTTATGACTGAGTCATTGAAATCACTGCCTCAACTGATGTTCAAAACAGTGATTCATTCATGAATGAAACTAGTGACTGACTTTATGGGTGCAACATTGATTCATTCACTTTACAGATTTGTTCAAAACACTGAATCATTCAGGAACAAAACAAGTGACCGACTTTATGATTGAGTCATTTATTTGTTTTCCTTTTCCAATTTCAAAATGTGTGAAGTCTGAGTTACCAAGACCTTTTCATGATCAAATAAGATTCACGTAAAATAAACTGTGCAGGAGTGCGTTTCAGTTTCAGTGTGCATGTGCATATGTGCATAAAAAGAGAACAGAAAGTCTGATATGCTTGTCAAATAGCAATGAGCCAGTCTGACTAATCTATGAATTCATGCATAAGTGTACAAGTGTACACCTCATATAATATAATTGACCAGCAATTACACAAACACATAGGATATTGATTTCAAATTCTCTTTCTCTATAAATGGAGACTGGTGGAGAATATCTTTGACATTATTTGATCTAAAGCACCCCAGAAGAATAAAGAGGAGAGTGAAGGACAGTGGAAGAACTGTTGAGACACTCAACTGAGATTCAAACAAAAGTTAAAGTAATGCCTCTCTTCACAACTCAAAAATCCAATTCGGCTCTTCTGAGCTCTTGAGACAGGGCTTAAATTCCATTTTAGGTTTGACGTCTGACTCAGATCTTTATAAAAACAGAAC